TTTGTACTCTAAAGTATTAGATGGTTATGAGACATCATGTATAAAGTCTAGAAAGTCTTCCGCTTGCTATTTTTAATTAAATGTCTTCCTTGTAAAGAAAGTTTTTAATTCCTTATGGTTTTAGTGTCTATGCGATGAATGAATGCTAAGAGGCTTGTATTAGACCTCTTCGAGGTCGAGTACGCCGGTTACGACTAGGGGGTGCTCCCGGGTCGTGACATTACCTCCAAACCCAAAAAATATGTTAGCTTTCCCAAGTCCTTCATTTTGAACGAGGAGTGTAATAGGTCTTTCAAATGAGAGATTCCAACTTCGTCGTTTCCAGTGATAATCATGTCATCCACATAAAGAAGAAGAATAGTAATACCTGAGGTAGTCCGACGTAAGAATAATGAATAATCTGAGCTATTTTGAGTAAAACCAGCACCTAAGATTGTAGTGCGAAACTTTTCAAACCAAGAGCGAGGAGCCTGCTTTAATCCATAGAGGGATTTCTTAAGACGACACACCTGATTTAGTTTAATATATTTATAACCTGGTGGTGGATTCATGTAGACCACTTCTTGCAAGTTTCCATGTAAGAAAGCATTCTTGACGTCCAGTTGATGTAACTTCCAACCTTTTATTGATGCTAAGGCAAGCAATATACGTACGGTCATCATCTTAGCTACTGGAGCAAATGTTTCATCATAGTCGATTTCATATTCCTGCTTGTATCCTTGAGCTACTAGTCTTGCCTTGTATCGATCTAGGGATCCATCAGCTTTCATCTTGATGGAGTACACCCATCTACTTCCAATAATTGTTGCATTTGTTGGTCTATCCACCATATCCCATGTATCATTCTCCTCAAGGGCAACTAATTCTTCATGCATTGCATCCTCCCAACATTTCTGACCACTAGCCTGCATGTAAGAGTTTGGTACAACTATAGAATTCAAGGTTGTTAGTAAGGCATAAGATCGACCATATTCACCTGTTGAGTATCCATATCGTTCTGGAGGAGGGGCATGCCGAGATGATCGTCAAGTGGGGTCAATGCTATTTTGACGAGTGGGAGAATGTTGGTTGTTAAGATTTAATGAGGCATTATGTGGGTGAGGTAAAGAATTAGTATTAGCCGAAGTAGTATCATTATCAATAAAAGGATCAAAGTCATAAGTAGTATCGGATGTGGTAGAGGACATGGTCGACGAAGGACCAACGGCAAGGTGGCTATGGCAAGCAGTATCATGAGAAGAAAATTTATTCAGGAAAGACATAGTAGAGAATTGTGAGTCTTTGTTAGTATAAATAAAAGAATTCTCAAAGAAGATAACATGTCGTGAGATTTTTAATGAACGACGTGTTGAATCATAACACAAATACCCATTTTGAATATCATTGTATCCTAAGAAAACACATTTAACGGCTTTTGAAGATAATTTATGACGTTCATGATCCGGAAGAAGAACAAAGCACACACAGCCAAATACTTTAAGATGTGAATAGTCAGGCAATTTCTTGAAAAGAATAAAATAAGGACAATTTTGTTTCATGATCGAGGATGATTGTCTATTTATGAGATAAATAGATGTTTGGATTGCTTCAACCCAAAATATTTTTGGAACATTTGAAGTATCAAGAAGGGCTAAGGCAGTTTCAACAACATGTCTATTCTTACGTTCCACCACACCATTTTGTTCCGGTGTATACGGACAAGAACGCTGATGAATTATGCCTTTTTCTTGAAAAAAATTAGTGAGGTTTATATTGACATATTCCCCTCCTGAATCTGAACGAAAAATCTTGATCTTTTTCTCAAACTGGGTTTCTATAAGGTTATAAAAAAATTTGACAATATTTGGTACCTCAGACTTGTGTTTCAAGAAGAAAATCCATGTATAACGAGATACTTGATCAATGAATAGAATGAAATATTTGTATCCCAAACGAGATATAATTGGAGAAGGTCCCCAAATATCACTATGAATTAAATCAAAAGGAGTAGAATAATTAGTACTGCTTAATTGGAAAGGAAGTTTATGACTCTTTGATTTTGCACAACTTTGACAAGGTAATTTAGAGGGAAAAATCAGTGAATGTTTGCCCAACAAATTACAAGATTTAAGCATAAAATTTAACCGAGAAGCGTGTGGATGGCCTAAACGGAGATGCCACAAGTTCCACATTTTATTTGAAAATTGGATATCTTTATTTGAAGCTGAAAGAAAACACTGATGGAGTTTGGTATCCTGAGATTGAAGAAGAAACAGCCTGCCAACCTTACGTCCCCTGGCCATCGTTTCCCCTGTCAATATGTTCTGAATAACACAACCATTAGGAGAAAAAATAACCAAAAAATTTTGTTCTACAAGTTGCCCAACAGATAAAAGATTTGCAGTAAGCTTTGGTACACAAAGAACTTCTGAAAATGGTTTAATGGTGCCAATAGCTGATGCAGTTAAAACATGACCATTTGCTGTAACAATTTCATGTCTAGAACGTGGTTTAGATAAATCAGAAAACAGTTTTTGATTTCCTGTCATATGATTAGATGCAGCAGAATCAATATGCCATACCGTTGAGTCTGAAATTTTAGTCTTACCAGGATAAGTAGCAGTCAGAGCTGAAGAGATTGCATTAGGAAGAGCAGCCACCAATGATTCTTGTATCATTTTGTAGATATCATTACGATCAAGCACTTTTGTGCTTGGTGTTTCTCGTGTTCCAGCATCCCTTGCCATCGCTTGGAAGGCTTTATGAGGAGTTGAGCATTTCCCTGGACCAGATTTCTTACGACATTCCAGAATAATATGACCATCTTTCTTACAATAGTTGCAATAATTTCGCTTCTTGCAGTGGGAAATAATGTGCCCTGTTTCCTTGCAATGATAGCATTGAACAGGCTTATTAGAGTTGCCCGAGGAAGAAGAACTTTTGTATGCAGCCAAGGCAGTGTCCATGGTAAGGGAATTCTTTATCGAAGATTGAGAACTCAGCCGAGTTTCTTCTCGAAGAACTTCAGAAACTACCACCTCCGAAGCTGGTAGTTTTTCCCCGTTAAGAATACTAGCACGCAAATGCTCGAACTCGGGCCTGAGTTTCATTAGAAATTGGACTGTCCTTGTCCTCTTCATCGTAGTCATGAAATCCTTCAATCCAGCCGCAGGAATAGAGGCGGAAAAAACCTGATCTTGTTCTGCCCATAATGTGAGTAATGCAGAATAGAAACAACGAACATTTTTTCCAGCTTGTATAGATTCTGCAAGTAGTCTTTCCAATTCAAATTCTCGAGCCAGATTTTGTTGGTTACCGAGGGTATGTAGATGACTCCACATTTCTGATGCTTTCTCAAAAGATGTCAGTTCCATGGCAATATCAACAGAGACGGAATTGACGAGCCATGTGATAATTCTGCCATTGTTAGCCTCCCAAGCCTCTTTTTCTTTGTCTTTTGTGGGTACAACCTTTGAGCCATCCAGAATACCAAGGAGGCCTTTGCCTCTAATGAAGGCTTTGAAATGGAACTTCCAAATCGGATAGTTATGCCCACCAAATTTTGTTGACAAGGTATCTCGTGAATCCATCCTAATTCAAAGAGGAAAATAGAAGTCGAAGGGATCAGTCAAGGAATAGATTCAGAGATGACTATAGGAATAATAGATATGGATTGAGAATCTGAACCAAAGATGAACGAAACAAATTTACTGGGAAAAAAAAAACTGAGTAGTGAGGGTCTGGGAAAAAAAAAAAAACAAGGCTCTTGATACCAAGTTGAATAACGATAGAGATCCAAAACAATTAGAGATAAAAGAATTGTGATCTATTTATTGAATAATAAAACTGTAGGATTTACAAGATATTTATACAAGTAATAGAGTCCTAATTATCTACTGATTTCAAGCTAATGACCGTTAGCCATAATGGGAGATCCCTGATTTTGGGGGAGATCCCTGATCTAGTGTCGATAAATAAGGTATAGTCAACAGATCATACCATATATAGTAAGACCTCTCTATAATTGTCATGTATAAGAATATTTCACTATAATGGTCAAATTCTTATTTAAATTGTTTTTTCATGTTATACTATGTTAGATGTTCTCTATGAAATTATTTTGTTATAGCAATAAGAATATATTATAAAGAGGTTTGATTGTAATTCTAGACTGAAGGAATAAAGTTATAATGAAAATAAACTCAAGACTAAACAAAACTTGACAATAATAGATAAGGATGTGGTCTAGTGGTCAATGAAATAGTTGATTGAAATCCATCAAGTCGCAAGGTGATTTCTTCTAATTAATTTGTCTTAACTTTGATGAACAAAGGTACCTGATATGTATTACAAATGAAAGATGACATATATTCTGTGAAATTAACCCAAACACCACATTCTTTTTTTAAAAAAAACTAGACAAGAAAAAGTATCCATCAAGAAGTTGAATGAGGAGTGTTTTTTTTTTGTTTTTCTAGAAAAAATTATTTTCATACTCAACAAAGAAATGGAGGTGTGAAGTGGGCATTTGGTAATTTAAAACACAATAATTCATGGCAAATGGAAAAGTTAGTTTCATGGACTAATTCAACACACTTAAACTAATTAAAGGCTAAATGCGCTTGGCCGTATAAAACAAAGATGAAAATCACAACATAACAATAATTCAGGGACTAAAACTAAAACTGTTATATATGTAGTTACTCAAAAGTTAATGTAACCAACAACAAATGACGTCCATCGATATCAAGATGACACTACTATTGAGTATTTATTTAATCCAAAAACCGTTCTATAAAACATATTCTTAAGTTTGGACTAACTAATAACTTTAAATTAAATCTTGAAATCGAGCTCTGATTGAAATGTAATCCTCAATAACAATTAGAGCTCTGCATCTGATTGCAACAGAAAATCATGAGGTCCAAAACGAGAAGCCAAATTGAAACCTTTGTGCTATGGAAGTTCACTTATTTTTTCCAAGTCTTGTAGACTGAGTAACCAATCAAATATTTGAAGATTTTCTTTCATTCTTTCCTTGTTGAGACTTTTTACAACAAGACTCACCCCTTGCTCATAAATCCACCTCAATGCTACCTGTATACACAGAGACGAATTTAAAATTTAAATATTTCTTATTTTTTTTGTAATTACAAATATGTTTGTTTTTAATTCACAAAATTATTTAACTTTATGGACCGATGTAGTAAAAGAATTTTTACACTACACGTCATGTCAAATAAAAGATGAATACACTATCAACATGTTAGTTAATCTGCAATCAACCTAAAGAATATATAGATCACAAGCACTAAAATATGGTTAAAAAAGGTAACCATTAAATAAATTAAATTAAGAGATACACCATATTTCAAATAATATAATACTATTTGTTGTATCATATAGAAGTTCACATCAATTGGGCACATGATCAAAATGATTTTAGGTATGTTAATAGTTATTGTTATCGAGAAAGTGATCAATCAAATATTTGAAGCTAAATATAAAATATGATATAAGTCAGACCTTACTATAATTATTCTTATTTAAATTGATCGTTCATGTTATATTATGTTAAATATTCTTTATAACATTATTTTACTATAGCAATAAAAAAAAACTATTATAAAAGAGATTCAGCTATAATTCTAGACTGAAGGATGAAATTATAATGAATATAGAACTCAAGACAAAACAAACTTGACAAGAATATCTAAGGGTGTGATCTAATGATCAATGAAGTAAGTTGAAAACCATCAAGTCACAAGGTGATTTCTTCTCATTAATTTGTCCTAACTTTGACAAACAAAGTTACCTGATACCTATTTTTGATGAAATGTGACATATATCTTGTGAAATTAACCCAACCACCACATTTTAAAAAAAAAATAGGCAAGAAAAAGTAAACATCAAGAAGTTGAAAACACAACAAGAAAATAAGAGAATATCTGAGAGTGGTTTTTTCATTTTTCTAGGAAAAAAAAAACAATTTCATAATCAACAAAGAAATGGTGTGAAGTGGGCATTTTGTTAATTTTAAAACAAAAATTCATGGCAAATGGAAATGTTAGTTTCAAGGACTAATTCAACACAATTAAACTAATTAAAGGTTAAATGCACTTGATTGAATAACACAAAGATGAAAATCACAACATAACAATAATTTGGGTACTAAAACTGCTACATCGTTTCTCAAAAGTCAACATAACCAACAACAAATGACATTCATCGATATCATGATAATATTATTGAATATTTATTCGATCCAAATCACAATCAATCGATAAAACATATTCTTAAGTTGGACTAACTAGTAATTTTAAATTAAATCTTAAAACTGAGCTCTGATTAAAATGTAATTAGATCTCTGCATCTAATTGCAACACCAAATCATGAGGTCCAAAAGAAGAAGCCATGATGAAACCTTTGTGCTGTGGAAGTTCACTTATTTTTTCCAAGTCTTGTTGAGTGAGTGACCACTCAAATATTTGAAGATTTTCTTTCATTCTTTCCTTGTTGAGACTTTTTACAACAAGACTTACCCCTTGCTCATAAATCCACCTTAATGCTACCTGCATATACAAAAACGGATTTAAAATTTAAATATTTGTTGTTTTTGTATTCGCAAAGATATTTGTTTTTAAATTCACAAAATTATTTAACATTATGAACCGATAGAATAGAAGAATTTTTACACTATATGTCATGTCACATAAAAGATAAATACATACAGATATCTGCTTATCATTTGTGGAATTAATATTCTTAAAAATAAGATTGACAACTTGCTATGTATAATAGGTTAAATTCATACTAATTTAACATTTCCAAAAACTACAACCAAAAAAAAGAAGAAGAGGTCAGATGGAATTTCTCTCCCTCTCTGTTTTTACCTTTTTCCTCGATAGTTGTGTTGGGCCCCAAATCATTCGAATTTATGTTCGTAAGGCTTATTGAATGGAAATTCTCTCCAATATTTTTTTTTTTTCATATTCAGAACTTAAACTTGAAATTTTTTATTGAGAGTGAAGAGATCTTATTTATCCTACTACAATCTTTATTAGTCGAAAGATGATTTAACCAACTAACTTTATTAATAAAGAAAACTCGAGGACATAGTTAACCTCTCACTATAAGAGCAATTCACTGGGACCAAAAGAGGAAATATTGAATGTTGAAAGACTAAATCCTCGGCTGATAATATCGAGAAAGTTATAAGTGTCCTCGTTAGTAGAAATAAAGATAGAAAAGACCATACTATATGATCCGTGACTTATTACAATTAAAATATAATTCGAGACAAAAGCAAACTAGACAAGAAAAAAAGAACCAACAAGAAGAATACCTGAGCTGTGGTTTTCCCTTTGGATTTAGCAATTTGAGTTAGTACATCACATTCCATAACTCTATTGTTACCCCAAATTGTATTATATGCACCCAAGGGAGAATAAGCAGTTATGTAAATTCCCTTTGCCTTACAAAATTCCCTTAGTTCCTTTTGTTGCCAAATTGGATTCATCTCCACCTCAACAAAACAAAATTAGCTATCTATGAGACCAACATTATATTGAATTGTCATATTTCTAATAAGCAAAATTATTGACCTTTTCAAATGTAAAATAATCCTAGAGCGATCAGAGGTAGGTCTAGAATTTTAAGTCAGTTGAGATATACAAGTTTTGCAGTACTATACTCATAATTGAGATAGATTTGTTTATTTTAAAATTTTCATTTGTATATATTTCGAGTGGAAGGCAATAGATATGGCCGGATTCATAGCCAAAGATAGATTGATTAAGAGGATGTTTGAGTCAGCTTATAAATTGGTCAGTAATAATTTCTTTAGCTTATGATCAAATTAGCTTATAAACACCTTTAAACTTATTTATGTGTTCGATAAACAACGAAAGTACTTATACGCCAAAATTGGCTAACAAATACTTTACTATTATATTCCTAATATCTTTTCTTAATTCTCAAACTACTCTTCCCAAAATAGAACTCTCAACTCCCTCTCCATTACATTTTTTTTCTCCCTGTACATATTCTTAAATTTATTTTATTGGTAAAAAACATATAAGACATATTAGCCATTTTAAAAGAAAAACTATTGATAAGTTTTTATTAAGTAGGTCAAGTACTTCTTATTAGTTTTTGTACTTCTTTCTATATAACTGCTTATTTATAAAATTAATTTTAGCACCTAAACTTATTTTTCAACACTTATACTTATAGACTACTTTTAATTAGCTAATTCAAACAGACTCTTAAGTCAATTTATCTTCCCTATTCTCTCGAGAAGTTAAAAAAATCGAGAAAATTGACTTACTTGATTGACGGCAGGAGGAATTTTTAGCGACGGAAAGAAGTTCCTCGAGTTTTTTGTCAAGAGAAA